TCTCCCTTACCCAACAACACTATGCGGTCAAAATCCGCAATTGTATCCAACCGATGCGCAACAGCCAGAATCGTGCACCCCTCAAAGACCTCCCTAATAACCCTCTGCATCAATTTATCCGTTTCGCTATCCACACTGCTCGTTGCTTCGTCCAATACGATAATTCTTCCTCCTCTTAAAATGGCTCTAGCTAAACAAAACAATTGCCGTTGACCGTGTGAAAAGAATTCGGTATCGAGTTGCGCGTCTAATCCCCCTTTAGACGAAATAAGAGACCAGAGGTGTACTTTTTCTAGCGCAGAGATTATTTGAAGGTCAGTGTGAACATTATACGGATCAGCATTTGTGCGGATAGTACTGCGTAGGAAAAAGGGATCCTGAGTAACAGCATTCAACCGCGCCCGTACCGTTTGTCGAGGGATTGTGCTAATGTCTATACCATCAATAAGAATTGAACTTCCAGGATGAAGTTCCAACATGCGAAAGAGCGCTGCGATGAGAGAACTTTTACCACTTCCACTTCTACCACAGATTCCGATTTTCTCTCCAGGTTTTATAGAAAGGTTGAGATCATGGATTACCAGGACGGACGTTGAGGTGTAGGACGCTTTTACATTTCTGAATTCGATGGCTCCGAATGCTGGCCAATTTTCTGGCACAGATTCGACTTCGGATGGTAAGTTCTCGCTTACAGTTGTTGCTGCGAAACTTTTGAGGCGAGAGACTGCCCCAACGGCTGTCTCCATAAGGGTCCATTCCTTGATAATTAGAGTAAGTGATTGGTTGAAAGTCATAACGTTCAACAGAGCAAGACCAACATAGCCCGGACTAATATCGGTGCGAAGCTTGACAATGAGCACCATGAGAATTACTGCAAGGACTGTAACGAGAAGATCGAGAACAAGACCTAGCCAGCGTTGAATACAGAATAGGAGGTAATAGGGCTTCTGAGATGTGTCTAAAAATGCAAGATTTTGTTCGCGAAACTTTTCGGTCCAACCGAAAGCTCGGATGGTAGTTAGGCCACTAAGGGTTTCGATAAAATGGGAGTACAACGGGGATTTTGCTTCGAGGTCTAAGAGACGCATTTGCCGAGATGTCCTGAGATAGAATTTTTGCAGCACTGTTTCCTGGTCAGCAATTATTAATACAAGAAAAGGTGTGTTGACTTGCCCCATACTGTTAGGCCGATGACCGGAATAGTTGCGGCGAAATACCCCGCAGATAGAGACATTAAGATAGCTCCCATTGATGCTTGCACGATGGACAATGAGAGATCAACCAACGCATAGGGAAGGTCTCCATCAATTATAGACATGTCTTGACTGAATCTGAGTCTGAAGTTAGCAAGATTCCGATAATACAACCCAAGTACATACCTATTCGTAGTCGTCCCAGTATCTGTGGCGGTGAAGAAAGAAAGAGGCGCTCCCATCACGGAATCCAACAATCTCTGGTGAAGGACTTTTGCACTTTTCGGCATCATATATAACATCAAATGGGAAATGCCTGCCACGAATCCAATCAGGGCAATAGCAGATAGCATTCCATATATTCCAAGCCAGTATGGATTTGCTTTATTACCTTCAACAGCGACAGCTCGAGTCCAGTAAGTCAAAGCAATTTCCGGTAATTTCGATGCTGCTCCAAATATTAAGACAAGAAGAAAAAAGATTCCGGTCGGTACCCATCCGATGGAGGCAAAATAATATTGGTATACTGAAGCATCACCAGTTTGTCGATTCAGATCTGCCACTTCATTTATGAGATCATCATTTTCGACAGTTGCGAATGGACTTTGTTTCTGGGTCGTCTCCTTTGTGTCAAGTTCTTCGGAGTCATAGTCCTCTGATTTATGCCGAGTCTCCAGATTCTCTACATAGCCACCACTAGTCTTCAAATGATCAAAGGTACCCTGTTCGATGATCTGGCTTGATTGATCCAATGCGATGATGTAATCTGAATATGCTAATCTGTGAACGGCATGAGTAACTAGAATAATAGTCGTTCCCATTTCTTGGAAAAGTCCTTGTTTTCCGAAAAGTCTTTTGAAAACTTGCTCTTCCGTTTCTGGGTCAAGCCCAGAAAATACGTCGTCAAGAATGATGAACTCGTTTTTGGCGTAAACGGCTCTTGCAAGTGCAAGTCGTTGTTTTTGACCGCCGCTTAGTGAGATACCTCCACTTCCTACACGAGTAGCTATGACATTGTCAGTGAATTCGAATTTCCAAGTCTTTACCAAACAGTGGAAAAGAAATATGAGACCGCACTACTCTAGGACAAGTACAAGCAAACATGCAAAAGAGATTGGAATGATATTAACCAAGACGAGCTTACCACTTCCATTAGGCAAAACTGCGATGTCATGTTCCAAAGCACAAGCTCGAACAACCTGATTATACCAAGGCGAGTCAAAGATTGATGGACCTAAGATGTTGTCTTGGATGGTCCCATTCTGAATCCATGGACTTTGTTCAACATACGCCGTTCTAGCGGTCTTGGCATAGATGAAGCCCTTTGACGATGGAGTTTCACCAAGTAATCCTTTGAGTAGAGTACTCTTTCCGCAACCTACCGGACCAATGATGAAAAGCGATTGAGAGCATGGTAGGGTAAAGCTGAAGTCATTTATCACAGGAAGAGCGTCCTGACTCCAAGCAAAGCTAGCATTCTGGGCAACGATCATTGCTGAAGGATCTACCACAGTTGACATATCTTTCAACTCGATACCTTGGCCCGAATCGCTGGTAGCGTCTGATGATCGAGATCCTATCAATGGCAAGCGATGGTCTTTTCGTGCATCCGACAACATGAAAGTTTGAATTCTTTCAAAACAAGCAACAGCAGAATTAATTTGAGGTATCGTCCTCACCAGTGTATTCATTGGATCTGCCAAGAGGGCAATGAGAGATAACGATGTGTACGCTGTCGAGGTACTTAAAGTACGACCGGTAACATTAGCTGAAATCACAAATACTGTGAATGTGACTAGCGGCGCTATGATAGCAGTGCTATTTGCTAGACCACAAGTTAGATGGATATTTCAGGCGAATGACGTAAAACACTATACCTAAGAAAACACGACCACACAAAAGCCTTCTGAATAATTGAGAAAGGTGTACTTCTTTCACACGAAGAGATTGAACCATGGTAGTGAGCGAGTCTGTAAATCCTAACATTTTTACGGCCTGCGTAGGCTTTTAGTAAGTTATGCACGAAGAGTAGTAAGAGAGCTGACCTTCATAGACCCTAACATAGAAGTTGTTATATCAATGCGCGTTTGGATACCTCTGATCCAAATCTTTTGTGCGTTACCCATCCAATTTGCCATAAGAAGAATGCCTGCTGTGCACAACAAAGCAATGGAAAAGGGAGCCAAGAAAGGCAAACCAAGTTGTCGATAAAGCAAATACATTGCGATTCCTAGTTCTATAGGAACAGCCCAAAGTTCGTGTATATTTGTGAATCCTTCACAAATTGCGCCTGTAGAAGAAAGTAAGCAACGCTTATAACATCGGAAGAAGATCTCATACTTGTGTCATTTGCCATCAATGTGACGGCAACTGATTCATCAAGAGCAGTAATACTCAAATCAACGGTTTTTGCATATATCAAGCTTACTAATGAACCGCGTACAGCCGTGTTAAAACGATATGCCATGTGGTAATAGGCTCCATTGAAGACAGCCAAACCTAGGAAGACAAGACCAAATGCTCCAGTCAAACTCCATCCTATGCTATCAGGCTGGCTTTCGTCGTTCGCGAAACCAACGGTTCTTTCTAGTAAGAAAGGTTGTGCATATTTGAAACCAGTCGTGCAAAGTCGTGGTACAATCCCAAGAGCAAATGCTCCGCGTGTGGCTTTCAAGGTTGACCAAAGCAATGAATAAGATCCTGTTTTAATGCTTGCATCCCAGGTGCTCCTTGCTCGGGAGTACAAGTAATGTGAGCTCATTTCCTCACAAATGGGATACAAGTCTTCGTTTTTAATGACCCGTTGAAAACCCGTGGTCATGAGGGTATTCAACCACCAAAAGAAGCTGCGACTATAAATACCACTAGTATTCTCTGGTGATGTGTTTCGATATCTGTCAAGGAGAATGTGGCGCTTTTCCACCGCTTCAACGATGATGACCATAATTTTGACGCCGAGAGCACTAGTGAAGGCCGCAGCAGTTGGATTATTTGCATGAACTAACCAAAGTGACCTTGCCCTCGCTATATCGAAAGGCAACGTGAGCAAAAGCCATACATTGATAAGAGCAGATGGCCTGACAGAGTGAAGATGCTCAATATGCGATAAAGCAAACAAGCCGAGGGCATCTACAAGTAGAAGAGCTGCAGCAGGTATTGTTGCACGTGTCTTCAATGTTGACGTGGTGGCATTCATAACTAAATAAGCCGTTTGCATGATTGTGAAAACTCCTAAGAACAGCTATGGTAACATTAGTTTCCATTTTATCTCGCTTGAATAATCAGACCATACCAATTTATTGCTATGCAAAAAGCTAGAATTAACTTTTCGAGGTTGATCACGCAGCATCCATATTCGAACCGGGAGTAAGAGAAGTAAGATGACTGATGGTACAATTGAGAGAACTACATCTTCGAATAGTGGAGTAAAGTCAAATCCCACAGACTTGGCCGGACCGAAGTCATTGATAGAGATATCAAAACTGGAAGTGTTACTTGACATGATTTCCAGTTCGTGATTGATACTTCAAAGCATAAAATCGAGGTCAATAGAAAGAGAGATACATATATAAACGACTGCTTATCGAGGACCCTTGCAGATGGAAAGCTAGCATATGGTATCCATGCCATGATGTGTCATCAGCCATGATCGGAGTTGAACACCGAATTGGGAGAACAGTAAGTAAGCTCTATTCCGACTCCGTGATTTAAAGTCATCTCGACATGAAGATTCACTATGACAGCAGACAAACTTCTGACGTAATTCCGACAAACATTGTTGCCTAGGAAGAATCAATGTAGAAATATGCACGCCAAGATAATGGATATGTATCATTATTCTCCTATTCGATCTCGCAAAACCGAGCATCACATCGTCGTCACTAAACGCGTGTTGACCGCTAAAAGCCGCGCAAACACATCGAGAGCCTCAGTGTTTCAAGGGTGGTGTACATCCGAAGGAACAGGCTTGACAGACGACGTGTACCAGGCAAGTATTAGATTGACTTTTGAATGTAATGAAATGGAGAACCCCGATAATCGCACATAGTTAAACAGCAACGTTTGTGAGAGAACCAGAACAATGCATTGCCTCATGTCGCCATCAAAAATCAAGAAGACGCCGCTCCACATGGGAAAGAAGACGAAGCTTAGTGTTGCACCGCCTGAACTTCGGGAATTCAAATAGTAAGGTTAAGCTTAGCTAGGTACCCCGCCATTCACCCCCACACCTCACGATAACTGTATCATATCAGCAACAACATCATCATCATTCTAGAACCTCACAACAAACATACCCAAGAAGCTACCATCACAACCAGCCAGAACAATATGGGTAGTACTCGAGAAGCCAGCCACGCCGGCTTGTGGTATACATCGAATCCGAGCAAGCTATCCTCGGAACTCGATAACTGGCTATCCCAAGTCCCCTCCACCATTTCCGACACAAAACTACCCGTTCCAGGTGCTCGAGTCATCATTGCACCGTTAGCTATCCCCATGTTCCCTCGTCAAAACTCTCTAACAAATTAAAGCCACGCAGGATATTCCTATTCCGGACCCGCCGCCGCCTGGGCCTACGCAACCCTCGATCTCTCCGCCGCAAAACGAATCTTCCTCCTTGGGCCCTCTCACGCTTGGTACCTCACTGAATGTGCACTATCCAAACACTCGAAATATGCCACTCCCTTAGGGGATCTAGCAATCGACACCGCTCTCGTGCAAGAACTATCCGCCACCGGGGAATTCAAGAAAATGTCGACCGACCAAGATGAAACCGAGCACTCTCTAGAAATGCATCTCCCCTACATCTACAAACTTCTCTCTCTCAACTTCCCCTCCCCCTCATCCTTCCCCCCGCTAATACCCATCCTCGTCGGCAACACCAACCCCACCACCGAGCGAAAATTCGGCTCCCTTCTCGCCCCCTACCTCTCCGACCCCTCCAACATCTTCATCATCTCCTCCGATTTCTGCCACTGGGGTCCCCGCTTCCAATACACATACTATCTCCCCGCGAGTCCATCTTCCGAAGCCCGTGATAAATCTGGCGGGTACTCGCTTTCGCGCCGGGACAAAGCACCGACGCAACCACCAATTCATGAGAGCATAGGACGCCTAGATCAATTATCCATGGATGCCATTTCCGGGGGCGTGCATCAAGAATTTCTAGATAATCTGGAAGAGACCGGGAATACGGTTTGTGGGAGACATCCGATTGGAGTGATAATGGCTGCGATTGAAAAAGTGAAGGGGGACAAGAATTTGGATGAGGAAAAGGGCAAATTCAAATTCGTGAGGTACGAACGGAGTAATGAAGTTACGAGGGTGGATGATGGTTCGGTAAGCTATGCTAGTGCGTATGCTGTGCTGTAAATGCTGGATTGCATTCTAGATTCCATGGTGAGCGATGATTTGATGATTCGATGATTTCCTGGTGCTAAGATGGGTCAAATGGTCGGCGCATTATATTTGGGAATGGAGTTTCTTGGAGGTTTGCATTCTGAGATTTTTCTAAATCAATTTGTAACGCATAACAACAAACTTTTTCTTTAGAACATTTCTTTGACACAAGAATAGATAAATCGATTAATCTCTAGCTCAAGTCCACAAGTGAGAAATATTAAAATGTGTTTCAACGGATGTGCATTCTATCTAGGTTATTGATTTTCTAGGACGGACTGACTTCTAATACTATCTTTTCACCTTTTGGGGGAGGTCTCTTCTTTTCTGATTATCCTTTCCCCTTTCTCCCCCCCTTTCCCTTATCGATGTAATTTTCCCTCAATCTATACACGCTCCTTATCTAAGGCAATCAATCCCATACATCCCACCTCTCTCCTTCCCAACTATTTTCTAAAGTTCTAATTTCCTCCCCCAAACCAACATTTCCCTAAACCCTCTCGTCAAACTCCTCGCCAACCTTGCCAAACCAATCCAGACCCTATCACCCTTCTGATAAAGCTGATCAAGTTCCATAACTTCTTTCTCCTCCATTGCCCAAACATTTTTCCCCTTAACCCACGTCCCCAACACATTCAAGCTTCTCAATCCCTCCACCTCTTGACCTTCCATCCCCATCACATCCCTATCGACCACAATCCAATCTGCCCACTTTCCAATCTCAATGGCCCCCATTTTATTTTCCAATTTCCAACCCCAAGCCGCGTTGCGCGTAAAACCATGAATTGCCTGTTCAATACTAAGACTTTCTTCCGGATACCAACCTTCTTTTCCAGAGGGTGAAGTCCCAGTTTTAGGATTGAGACGAGTTACTGCGGCATAGATACCATGAAAAGGATTCGGCGGTTCGACTGGAAAATCAGAACCAAGGACTGGCCCAGGATATGTTGATGTGTTGTTATGAGCAGGAGGGAAGAACGATCGCATACGATAAGCGAAATCGGAAAGTCGTTCCTCTCCGAGACGGGATGATGCATAGGCCATGTCAGATGTAGCGTGTGTTGGCTGAATGCTGGGAAGAATTCCCATATTTTCAATGCGTATCTGGTCGTCAGGATGCTGGGAAGTGTGTTAGAAAAGCATCAACTTTTGATATGGAACGTACTATAATTTGAGCATGCTCAATCCTTAACCTCTTTTCTTGGTTGCAACCATGGCAATCAGATCCCAAGACCGCTTCAAATGCATTTATAGCAGCTCTATTAGCTCGATCGCCGATAGCATGAATATTGATTTGGTAGTCCCATTCGAAGAACTCGAAGAATCAGTTAGTCTTATTGACAAAAGAAAAGGGAAGTAGCAAAATACCTTCTTAACAACTTCCGTTAATTCAGTCTCGTTGATCAACATCATTCCACTAGTCTCAGGTTTATCTGAATATGGTTCCAACAATGCCGCACCCCAGGAGCCTAAAGCTCCATCCGCAAAGAGTTTGATTCCTCCAAACAATAGCATATCACCTCCACCAGATCCATCTCTTATCACTTTCACCGTTCGCAACTCTTGATGACAAAAAGTATTTCTCTCATCACACTCAGCCATCACACGAATTCTAACCGTCAATTCATCTCTCCTAGCCAATTCTTGCAATATTTTCACATCTTCCATACGCATACCAGCGTCGCTCATAGCCGTAATACCTACTTTATTCAACTCCTCCATTGCGGTTTTAAGCCAGCGTACTTTTTGAGACGCGCCTGGCTTGGGTGCGAGAGGATAGATGTAGTTATCCATTGCATTATCGCAAAAGACCCCAGGTCCAGGATTCGTGATAATTTCGCCACCCGGAGGCGATTCAGGTAGAGGATCAGGAAGAAGGGAGAGGACCTTTTCTGAAGTCCACACACAATGTATATCAACCCTATCGAGCATGATATACAAATCCTTCAGCTCTGGGTCTTCAGCAAGTTGTTTCTAGAAATTTCATCAGCCAGACTTCTTTACCAAATAGAAAAACAGAAAGATGGATTCATACAGCTGTCGGCATCACGCCTCCAAAATGAGCTTGATCCCATCCCACCCCCCTAATCCATTTCTCCCTGCCTCCATAACCTTCTCCTTCGTGTCTTCCCAACCACTCTTTAATCCTGCTCTTCACATCATCCACACTTTCCGCCTCATACAAGCTCACACTCTCGAGCATTTCTCCATACTGCAAAATATGCCCATGCGATTCAATAATCCCAGGCAACACATATCCATTCAACCAAACAATTTTTTCGCCTTCTTCTGCGCTTGGTACTCTTTCAAGAATTTCCGTTATCACATCGATTCTAACGCGGAAACATCTCGGATTGGGAGTATCAGAAGAAAGACTAGTGATGGTATATGGTTCGCGGACGCAGTAGAGGGTTGAAGAGGTCCATGTATCGTAGAGAGAATGCAAATTGGCGGTTATAAAGAGTATGAGATATCCTACAAAGAAGAAAGCGAGAGGATGCATTATATTCTATTTCTATCCTACTTGACAGAATAGGAGACTGACAGTGGGAGGGTAGAAGTAAGGGTGGTTTTATATCACCGTCCATGCATGCGTTTTATTCTGAAAGAGATAAGGAATGTTTCATTCGACGTTGTGTGATGAAGGTACGTATTATGTTGTACTACATTGAATTCAATTGGATCGGATTGGGCTACAACAATTGATTCCAGATTGTCGTTTTTCGCTCTTTCCTATATGGATTAAGTACAAGTATGCGACCAAAGAAGAAGTTGCAGATTCAAAGGTAAGCTAGCATGTGATTATCTTCAACCAGACGGTAAGAGAATAAATCATTTCTTAATTTCCAACCTCGCGATAAATTTTGTCAATCACCTCATCACTACGCTATTTCCTTCCGTGGAGTAACATTTCTGAAAAATATGATACACCAAAATGAGGTTTACAGAGTTGAATTGTGAACAGAAAACTCCCGGTGAGGCTTCAATTCCTGGTCGGTCAGTCCAACGTCGAGAAAAAAATTATATTTCCTCAAGTATTTACACCAATTTGAAAGTTCAGTCACCAAAGAATCACATATGAAATCTACGATATCTTTGATTATAATCTATGCAACGCCATAAAGTCATCGCCATGTCCAATGACTTTTATCTGCAACGAACTACCCAAAACGCCGAGCTAACATAATGCATAATTCCGCCCATAAATGGTAAATATTCACCGCTCATGTATCTCTCATCATCATAATCCTTCAATCTTCCCATAAATCAGAATTTACGATCTCAAAAACGTCTTAAAGACTTGTGAATCTGTACAGTCCGTCCAAGGATATCCGATTTCCCTCAAAAATCTCTCCAAATCCTTGACTTCATCATCCGGACACAGGATACCCGTCAGAATCTTTCCGATATCACTTCCGGCATTGCGGTATTGGAAAAGACTTATGTTGAATCTCGGTCTCAAAGTAGTGAGGAATTTCTCAAGCGCACCTGGTCTTTCAGGGAAGTTGAACATGTAGAGTCGTTCGTTTGGTACTCCGGAACGTCCACCCACTAGGTAGCGAATATGGGATTTGGCAAGTTCGTCCCCGGAGAGATCAGCAGGTGACATGCCACTGGATGAGATGCGATTGAGGAGAGATTGAAGCTCTTCGTCTCTTTGAGATGCAGGAGAGGTGAGAGAAATACCAATGAGTACATTTGCTACTTCATCTGTGGCATATCGGTAAGAGAATTCGGTGACGGCATGTGGCATGACGGCTTTGATAAGTGCAGAGAAGGCGCCAGGAATTTCAGGAATGCTGACACTAAGGAGAGCTTCTTTACGTTCTCCAAGAGCTGCACGCTCGGCAACGAATCTAAGACGATCGAAGTTCATGTTTGCTCCAGAGGCGATAGCTACAAGATTTCGAGAAGTATCGGGAGATGGGTTGGCCGCAACATATTTCTTAAGTCCTGCGAGTGCAAGGGCTCCAGCTGGTTCGACAATGGATCTCGTATCTTCGAAAACGTCCTTAATAGCTGCGCATGTTTCGTCTGTAGTGACTTGAATAACATCATCGATGACCTCTTGGCATATTCTGAATGTTTCCTCTCCCACAGTCTTTACTGCCGCTCCATCAGCGAACAATCCCACTTCCTTCAATGAAACTCTCTTTCCAGCTGCCAAAGATTGTACCATAGCATTCGCATCGTAAGTCTCCACTCCAATGATTTTCACATGCGGAGCAATACGCTTGACGTAAACGCCAATCCCCGCAATCAACCCACCACCACCCACACAACAGAAGATAGCCTCCAATTTATGAATATTTGTTTGTCTGAGAAGTTCCATGCCAATCGTACCTTGACCTGCAATTACATATGGATCGTCAAACGGTGGAATATTCGTCAATCCATGTAATTTCTCTAATCTTCCGCACTCCTCCTTCGCAGCATCGAAATCCGGCCCATGCAATACTACCGATCCTCCCAATCTCGTTACATTGAGATGCTTGATACTGGGTGTTCCTTCGGGCATTACAATCGTAGCAGGCATTTTGAGTTTGCGCGCCGAATACGCAACGCCTTGTGCATGATTTCCCGCTGAACATGCAACCACACCTTTCCAACTAACTTTCGGATCTAAATGTGCCATTTTATTATATGCGCCTCTCAATTTGAAGCTGAAAACCGGTTGCAGGTCTTCGCGTTTCAATAAAACATTGCATTCTAATCGATTGCTGAGGTTGACGGCTGGAGTGAGCGGGGTCTCATTGACGGCTTCATAGACTCGAGAAGTGAGGATTAATCGTAGATACTAATCAATTGATCAGTTACAGGTCTTGAAACACGATTGAGAATACTTACATCAGGATATCCATTTGGCAGAATAAATTCCTGCGGAACAATGCTGCTAACTTTTGATTGTGTACTTTCTGATGGTGGTGATGGATTTGCTGAATATTCCGTCAAAGAAAAGGAAGTAAGACTTGGAGTTCGTGGGTGATTTGGAGTTTTCTCTCCATTCGTTACTGTTCCGTTCTCCATATCTGGAAATTATGTATTAATTTCCAATTGAGTAAATTTCTTTGGTGTTGTTGAGAATCGAGTCATAAAGTTTGATATTGTTTTATTTGCTGGATTCCACCTTTCGATATCGGAGCTGGTACTCTCCAATTATTTTTTGCAGGGATGCTTGAATTCCGATGATATCACGACCTAAGGTTGCATTGTGATTCGATGCATTTGGAGGGGCAAAGCTTTTGATAAAGCTTTGGAACATCAATAACTTCACAGATTCACCATCTATAAATACCTTAGTATCGCAAAAAGGTATTTTAATCAATAAAAATGTCAAACAATACTCCATTGCCGTCGTCTTTCGATGGCAACACGTATGTGCCAATTTAATAGAAAGCTTTTGTTTACTCATTCATAGCTAATGGCCTGATAGTGATTTCTATGAAGAAAATCGCTGGCAGAAATTAACCCGTCGTCTCAAAGAAGAGCCTCTCATTCCTCTGGGTACATCATCTCTCCTCCTTTCACTTCCCCCAATGTTCTTATACTGACCAATTCCCTTTCTAGGTTGTATACTCACCTCCCTCGCTCTCGTCGGCGCAACCCGCTCCATCCGAGCCGGCGACCACAACCGCACTCAACGCATGTTTCGCGCACGTATCTACGCGCAAGGTTTTACTCTCTTGGCTATGGTTGCTGGATCCATGTACTGGGATTCCGATCGTAAGAAGCGCAAGGAATTTGAGGGAGTGTTGTCGGAACAAAAAGCTAAGGAGAAGAATGAAGCTTGGATTAGAGAATTGGAGGCCAGAGATGAAGAGGAGAAAGAAATGAGGAGGGCGAGGGATGAGAGGAGGAGAAGAGCGGAGGGAAGACCGGCACCAAAGGCTGTGGTAACGGATGCGCCAGTGGAGGAAGGGGAGAAGACGAAGGGTGGAGTCAGGGAACAGATGAGTGGTTTGGTGTGGGGAAAGAAATGAGAGATGTACTAGGTAGTAATTGCGACTAAAACGGATGTATGGGAAGTATAGCATTGAGGTTTGGTGTTTGGTATGGTTATCGGATATGTATAACTTATGGGTTACGGAAATGTACAAACTCCATTCATTTATCGATTTTATTTTAACATTGGTCGTGGGTCGTTTATATAGTAAAATTGCAATGCTCTTCATATCCAAAGTATCTAGAATCCAGATCTATTATTTGAGTGAAGTTACCCAAACTCGCAAGAACATATCCCTCCAAATGTTTAAGTTTCCACGCCGTTCATGCTTCAAATATCCCGATCCATTCCTACTAAATGCTTTCCAAAACTCCAAGCTCAACCCATCAATTCATAGAACCACCACTCCTATTCCCTCCAATAAGCCCCGCCATTTCCAGCAACGCCCTATCGGCTTCAATATCACCAGTTCCTAAATTAATCTTTCTCCTCGCCTCCGCTTCTCTTTCTTCCCAGGCCCACATCTCCTTTTGTTTCTGAGCTTCGGCATCGCCTCCACAACCCCAGACTTCTAAACTTTCGATTTCAAATCGGTCTTGGAAATCTGTACGTCTGGTCTCACTGTTGTGGAATGCACCTCCACCAGATGAATAGTTGTGTGTAAAAACACCAAATTCAAAAGAAGAATCTAGATATAATGATACAGCGCCAAGGTTCACATGAGTAGATAGTCCAGCCGTCTGTTTCGTTTTAGGATGTGGGCATCCAAAGGATAAACATGGATGGGCTGATGGAGGTTTGGAGAATGCCACATAATCCTTGTTAATCACCGAAGCGTGAAAGACCTCATGGACGGGTTCGAGCTGGAAGAGCAGTGTGTCGGTGTCTCCAAAACACTCTTTATGAGTTTGTTTCCAAGGCTGTGAGAGATAGACTCCAAAGACAACTCTGGATGATTTACCACTATTGGGAAATCGTTTGGGCGGCAACGTGTCTGCAAAATTCCTTTCCTGTCCACCAGTGGGGGAATCTTCAATTCTGTTTCCAGCGACCAAAAGGATAGTTGGCGCACGCCAATTGAACACTCTTGTCTCGAAAGAACCCATAGAAAATCCAGCATCTCCACCGGAATAGAGCAGTCGAAGACGTCGGAAGAGAGAATCCCCGGGAAGGAAGAAGGAGAGTTGCGACAAAACATTGAGATCCAGTATCTCACCTATTTGTGGGAGAAGAGGCTGATCTATTTCAGCATCTAAAGGTAATGGAGGCGGTGCTTCTGAAGAATCTTTTCGTTTTGTGAAATCAATGTTCTTAGAGAACAAGAAGTGTTCGAACAGAGCATTGAATCCATTGAATACAAAAGGCAATGAAATGGGTATCACAGTGTTGAATTGATGTATTTTAACGCCGGGGAATTTTTCCACATTTACAAAAGCTGCAAGAATGTTGTCCGCTGTTCTTCGAAGACTTTCTAATTGTGATCTGGCGAGTCTTTCGGTATGGTGAGCTAAACTCTCTTGGATTCCTAATGGCGCTACCAATAGGAGTAGCATAATCAATTTTTTAAGGTTATCGGATGGAATCGTAGCTTGGGCTATGGGCGGATCTCCGTGACGAAATACTTCAATGGCGTCCAGTGACTCAAGTGCAGCTAAAGCAAGGTCATCATCTTCCTCTTCATCGTCATCATTCACAGCTTCATCGATAGCGAATCCTGTTGCATTTTTTTTGACAGCATTCTCTCCTTGTACTAGCGGAGACGTTCTGTCCGCCTTATCTTCTTCATTTTCAATCCCCGCGCGAGATTCCCTTCTATCGTATACCGCCAGACTTCGAAATAGTAGCTTTGTCCGATCCCTGTTGCCCTTCTTCAATACCCTCTGGTATCTTTCCGTCATGATTACTACCACCATAATCATCTGTTCAAATCCCAAGACTGCTGGCGCATCCTGACCGAATGGAAAAGCACCGAGGTAAGATACCATCTGGAATATAATCGGGGAAGCGCCTAGTATATCCGGAATCTCCAGGAATCGTGCGATAGTATCTTCTTTGAGATATGCGACTCCATCTTGATGATCTGCAAGACTTTTGAAAACATCCTGGAATGAGAACAACTCTAGGGGTGTAAAGCAACGTTTTGCGAATTTCCGAGCCTTAAATAGCAATTATTACAAGTTCTCCAAAGTGGTTGGACGTTGAAGAGGGGAGCTTCCATAAATCGCAAACTTACCAGTTCATGACTCAGCTGCTGTGTTGTAACATGTTTATCACTGCTACCAGACTGAGATTGTCCCATCTTTACTTCTGTTTCAGATACATCGTATCAATTTGTATTACGATCCAATGTTGAACAGCAATAAGATGTTTACAAAGAGACAGTCAATGACGGAGTGCTTACATAATCCGTGTTCCATCCCATTAGCGGCCAAACGAGCTTCTTCATTTCATGCCGAAATTGGTTCACGTGTCGTTCGAGTGCTCACCGGGAGCTTACCAAAGAGCATCATTATCATAAAAACTTCTCTTGAGTTATTTCGACATTCTCCTGCCTCACGGTAATTACTTGACTGTCTCATATTCATCTATTAGTTTCTTTAGTATTGCTGTAACAGCTGCAATACATGCTGGATAATATGGTCTCAAAATTACGTTACTCGATTGAGTCTCAGACTCTGGAAAAGGTGATTCTTGATTAAACTTCTCAGGAATGGCCTAATCTGACTATTGCAGATGTCCAACATAGCCAGGTCAATTGATATATTCGTCTTCTAGCATTGTACCACGGGGGTTTGATTGATATTTGGTGTCAATACTTGAACTAACTTTCTTTATACGCGATGTTTTTGTGTATAGAATGGCTCTGGCCACAATGACCTTGTGCTTCCGAATGATGATGAGGGGCACGTTCTAACTGACAGGAAATCCATTTTCTGATTTGTCTTGGATCAAGTGCAATTCTGCTGAGTTTCCGGGTCCAAGTTGGCTATAACAATTGTTATGTATTATATATCGTCGGGGCGGTTCGATTTGATCATTGCTGATTGTTAATTGCTGGATAACGGAAGGTTCTCAATCGCCATCAACCACAAATATCTTGACCACATCCCCTTCACTAATATAGCTTTATTCTTCCTACTTTTTCGAGTACCAGGCTAATCGCAGCAGCATAGCTGAGTTGTCGGTAACAACGATTGGAATGAGGCGTCTGCAAGGTTCCGGTCGGCATTCCTTGGTGTCCAGCTGAGCTTAAAATGAGTTTCAACAAGTTATAGATGCAATTTAGTCTTTTTCTTATTATCTATATTGTTGGTACATTGATATCTTCTTGAAAGGATGGCGTCTTATCAGTACACTCCTATAAATTCTCAGGAACTTCAAATTCGAGTGTTACACATCCTCCCAAAGAGCCGCACAGATCTGCCAACTTCTGATAGGCTACCCGAGCAACTTGTTACAGGTAATTAGGAAGTAGATCACAACAATGCGTGTTGTATTTACTGACGTTGCCATAGTTTCCTGCACTCTGCACATAGTATCTTTAAGAGAAATTCCAGACTATCATGCTTTGTCTTACTGCTGGGGAGACCCTGATCTTCCTCGAGCACAAATTCTGCTCGATGAGACAGATGTCGAAGTTACCATTAGTTTGGAACAGGCTTTGAAGGCATTTCGGCATGAGACAAAAACAATGGTTCTCTGGGCAGATGCAATATGTATCAATCAGAATAATCCAGAAGAGAAGGCAGAACAAATCAAAATGATGAGAGATATCTACAGTTGTGCCAATACTGTGGATGTATTTCTAGGCGAAGGAACTCCTAGAACTGACGAGGCCATGGACGCGGCTCTGACTATAGGAAAAGCTGCGTATGATGCAGGGATTTTTTCTGTTACCGTGGACAGTATGAGAGATTGTGAATTTTACATTCGAGAAGATCAAGAGGGATATGGATTTAATCGTCCAAAAATAAGCGATCCGCTTGCTAATGTGAAACGCTCGCTCTATCAACTTGCCATTGATGTTGGCCTTGACTTCCCATTTCTCGGCTGGCATGAAATAGGAAGTCGAGATTATTGGAAT